ATGCAAATCACATTGAGGTAAATGGCTCTACTGATGTGTGTGACTGAGTTGGATAGAATTGTGTCTTAACTTGGAAACTTACAAGTATTTTGTTTTCCAAACAAAATAAAATGAAGCAAATCATTGCCATGGCAAATTATGAATTAAATTGGTAGGCTGGAAACTTGACAATATTCTTAGTATCATATAGCTTGCCGTCTGTACCCACAAATTTCACAGTTATGGATTCAACAAACTGTGCCTCAGATCTATTTGGAAAAAAAAATGTATTGTGTCCATATGAGATGCTGGTATCACAGATGATACCGTAACATACTATGTCATTATAAGGGCTCTTTAAGGATCTTTTAACTTGTTATTCTGCTTGGAATATAATGTGTCTAGCCATAAAATTCCTTTTCTGTATCTTTTTGACTTCTGCAGACTCAGAGTTAGGATTGTTTTTTTGTAAACACGGAGATACTTTTTCTTCATTTAAAAAAATTATTTTCTCTTTGTGAACTAATGTTTTTCAGTTATTGCTTTTCCTTTTATTTTTCATTTATTTAGTTTTTGAAGATTTATTTATTTTTATTGGAAAGGCAGATTTACAGAGACAAGGAGAGAAGAGGGTGATCTTCCATCTGCTAGTTCACTCCCCAAAGTGTAGCCATGGCAGGAATGGAGTGGATCAGAAGCCAGAATCCAAGCTCTTCTTCTGGGTTTCCCACATGGGTACAGGTGCCAAGGTTTTGGACCATCCTTCAGTTCTTTCCCAGGCCACAAGTAGAGAGCTGGATGGGAAGCTGAGCATCCATGGTGAGATCTGGCATCCATTTGGGACACTGAGTGCTGGCAGGCAGGCAGAGGATTAAGCAGTTAGGCTGATTTGTTTCCTTTAAGCTTGAGGGAGTTTCTCAAAATAATGTTTTGGTTCACTAGTTTACCATTGTAGCATTCTATTATACCCCATTTTTCCTTGCTTAATTTTATTTGAATCCATATTTTGTAGCTGAATTAAGTTTTCTTTTCTTCCTCAAACCTAATGGGGCTGTTGAGAATGGATTTTTTTAACTTTATTATTTGATAAACATCAAAGAAAAGTCAGGTTTGCTTTACTATTTTCTTTACAATCAGTTCAGATGTGTCCAATTGATGATATTTATCATATGCATTTTGAGTGTTAGCATTAAGGGATGTGATAATAATTTTCTGAAAATATTCCTTTTAGTGCCAGATTTGTTTAGGGAAAATAAATGAGTGAAATGAAGAAGGAATCTTTACCAAAAAAAAAAAAACTATTTCAGAGCTGTTTCTATAATACTTAATTTAAGTTTTTGATAGGAAGACTTTCACGTGTAGATTTTCTCATTGGAAATAGAGCATTTGTCATGCAGAAATTATTTATAACATTTACATTGGCAGACGTTAACTTAGATTTACCTAAATGTATATTTGCTTTAACATCATTTGTTCAAAATTTGTTTCAGGTGAAGAAACATATTTTTACAGGTAAGCCTTTTTTGTTGCTGTATTTTAGATCTCCTAGTTTTTGTGTATAATCTGAAAACTTACAGGTAACTGTATTTTTTAGTGAATAAGAAAAAGCTTGCTGTAGAACTTTGTGGACGAATAAAAGAAAAATGTGAACTACTTGACAAACATAGCTTTGCGGATAAAGAGGTAAGACAGTTTTCAAAATGAAAAAGAGCCAAGAAACTATAATTTCTATGTACATAGTTTTGTGTAAATAGTTTATTTGGAGTGTAATACAGCATTATGCTGTTCTTCACTTCAACACTTAACAGGTCTTACTAATTTTGGTCATTGTGTTAGGAGTGATGTTGTCTCATTCTGGTTTTACCCTGTGTTGTCCTAATGACTTTCTTTATATATCTTTGAACCACTTGAATATTGTTTTTAGGAACTTGCTTTTTCATTTTAAAAAGCATATTCATATTTTCCTTTAATAATTTTCCTACATTTTATAAGGAAGTCATTTTTTCATTATGTTTATTTCAAGTATATTTTTTAATGTGGCTACTGCAAACAGGTGTTTTCACAAGTTGTCTCTGTGTGAAGCCCTGCCTTCCAAACCAATAAGTAAATCTTTATTAGAATAATTTATAGTTTGTGCTCACAGTGTTGGTTTGTTTCAGAATGAGAATTTAGAGGCATCTTTGAAAGATTCCAGCTTTGAGGAGTCAAATGAAGCACAAGCTTTGAAGGTAAAGAAACCAAATGGCCTCCTTCTGAAAGTTGGGGCTAAGATTGTTGCTGATGACTAACATAGACTTTATAGATAATATATTGTCAGTAAAGTAAGTTACAAAGAAGTGTGAAAGAATCATTTAGCTTTTATAACTTAAAAATGGTTAAATATTAGAAATAGGTCATTGGTAGTTAGCACATGTTTTGAGTGAGACATATTCAGTTCACGGTAGAGCTCAGTAGAAGCTCTTTGTTCTTCCTTCCAGGAAAATTCCTGAGTGACCTTTCCTTTTTTGGAAAGGTCCACATCTCCACAGGGAGATGAAGGATTCGTTCAAACAATTTCAGGAACAGTTGTCAGCAATGAATTACCTAAACTGTGTAGTGGTATTTACCTTTATGTAATCCTCAGAACATTGGGAATTATTCAGAATCAGATCAGGGATCTACATTGTAAATATTGATATGCTGCTAAGTGTTTCAGAACCGGCTCGCCAAAAATCATTGCTGTGTTCTGGAAAATAAACAAAACGAAACATGTTCCCCCAAGGCTGGTCTCAAGTTCCCAAGCTGAGGTTACTGAATGAGGAGTATTGTCATGATTCAGCTTTCCTGAGCCTGGTGTGATTCAACTCCTTGTAAGGAAAATATATTACACTTTAGTTTAATGAAGATGGATTAGGTTAAGTGATTAGAATATGTCACTACCTCTTAAAGATCAGGATGTAAAAATCATGGAGAAATAACTCAGTACGGGAGAGGTCTGCTTCCACCACCGTGAAGTTAGAAGGTGGTAGTCATTTCAATTAGGTGTAGGAGTTCAATTCCATGTGACAGTTTCAGTCACTGATGTCTTTCTTCATCAGAACATCTGTTTATCATTAAGAAATTCCTTTGTGCAGTGCAAAGGATGGTATAAATTGTGTTGCAAATATGGTATATCTATTAATGCTTTCTTGTATAATAATAATATGAAAAACATATTGGTAACCTCTTTAATTTGGTGACCCATTAAAACAGCATTCCTTGTAGCAATTGACTAATGGTTTGACAAATTAGAAGAATTTTAGAAGGCATTTGGCTTGCTAACAGAATAGGAAAACTCAATAGCAAACATATTTACTCAACCTGGAGTATAAGTGTAGACAAAATGAAATAATGGGATATGGCAGCCTGTTGTGAAGGCATTTCCGTTATGTAACATACCAGAAAAGTTAGCTAATTGGATATTTTGGAATGTTTTTTTCTTATATTACTATTTAAGAAGACATAGCATTTATTTTCAGGGGTAGTAGTCATAATTGAATACAAACTGTGATAGAATTTTCGCAAATTTAGTAGTTAAATCTACAGAAAATGTTAAACCAGTAGAGCAGTAGAGTATTTCTGATTCAGGTCAGAGAATTGCTATAAAACTAGCCAAATTTAGAGAGCTAGGAATATTAAGTGTTTTTTTGCAGTACAATAGAGCTTTTAAAAAAAAAATTTATTTTTGCCTGCTTTATATTTGAATCTTTTCATTTTGTTTTTTTCAATTTTAAACAAAGTCTGTTGAAGGCTCGAGAATGGCAGAGGCATATTATTGTATTTAACACCCAATAGGAATAATTTTCATTTTAGTATTTTTTAATTGCACAATTATTTTTTTTACAGATTTATTCATTTTTATTGCAAAGTCAGATGTACAGAGAGAAGGAGAGACAGAGAGAAAGATCGTCCGTCCAATGATTCACTTCCCAAGAGAGGTGCAATGGCTGGTTCTGTGCCAATCTGAAGCCAGGAACCAGGAACCTCTTGGGTCTTTCACGCAGGTGCAAAGTCACAAAGCTTTGGGCCATCCTCCACTGCTTTCCCAGGCCACAAGCAGAAGCTGGATGGGAAGTGGAAGTGCTGGGATTAGAACTGGCGCCCGTATGGGATGCCTGTGCATTCAAGGCTGGGACTTTAGCCACTAGGCCACGCGGTTGGGCCCAATTGCAGAGTAATTCAATATCAAATATCATGAGGAAATCTTTATTTTTATTTAATTTTGATATTATTACAATGTAGTGAATTAGGTTGTTTCATCCTTTTGTTTTATAATGCTTAAGAGTAAAGGTTGGCAAACTACACACTGGATTGTCCACCAGTTTCTCTTTTCTGTTTTATTTTTCATGATACAGTTCCGTAGACTCAAGGATTTTCCCTCTCACTCCATCTGTTTTTCAGTTTAAAAAAAAAAAGTTCTAGGGCACAATGCTGCTCATTTAGTTAGAATTAATTGTCTTTGTTTCTCATTAACATATTATGTGTGAATAACGGTGATAGAGATTGTGTGGCCTGCAAGCCTGAAATGTTTGTTCTCTGACTATGAAGAAGCTAGTTGGCACCTGCTAGAATTGCTAATACTTTGTTGTTTCTCTCAGGTCAGAGAATTGCTATAAAAATAGCCAAATTTAGAGAGCTAGGAATATTAAGTGTCTTTTTCTGCAGCACAATAGAGCTTTTTAAAAAATTTTTACTTTTGCCGGCTTCACATTTGAAACATTTGATTATTTTTTTCCAAAAACTTTCTACATTCACTACTGATGTATCCTATATAAGTCATTTAAGTTGAATGACCACATGCACACTGTGTAGTTTTTATTAATTAAAAATTATAAATATGAGCAGTTAAAATCATGATGTGTGTAAGAGGAATGTACATTGTGTACCTTAAGTGTTGTGAAGTATCAAAGTTGAGATATGGCATGTTGAAAATTGGAGGGGTTTGGTAAATACTTCTCTACTAACTGATACTTTCTTTCCAGACGAAACAAAGCGTACACACCATGGAGAATGACAAAAAATCCCGCCAATCACAAATTACTGAAGTAAGTTGAATTTGTCTAACATTTGTAGGTCTATTGCTTTTGTACATAAATAAAATTTGGTTGTTGCTTTTATTATTCAGGAATATTATTTGATGTTAGGGTTTCAGAGGTAGACGAGCTTCAGTTTACATACACACACATATACACACATAAGGCACTTGATGAAAGTTTATTATTGTAACACTATACACATATTTGAAAAAGCTATTGCTATATACTGAGTCCTGTTGAGGTTGCTTGGTGTTTATCATATTAAGGCAGAAAAACTCTCATAAAGTTAGCTTTTAGTGGAGGACATACAGAATACATAGTTCAGAAAATTTGCTATGCCATACATGGACATTGATAAGAGGTTATGTCATTTGTCCAAGGTCACGTGGCAAATTGGTGGCAGAACTATATTCTGACTCTAGGTTCTTTCTTCCTGCTCCTCTGGGCTGCCTCTGTTGGCACGTTGTTGCCATGCTTTAGGCTGCTTTAGCTGTTGTCCACGTGGATATTCTAGGGAGTCCGTGAAGATGATCTATTGTGTTATGTTAATTGTTACTGACTTAATGTGTTTTATACTTAGGCTGAAATAACCACCGATAGCTTTCAGATAAATTTGGATTTACCTAAGCAATTGCATGAATATTCGCAACTTCAGGAAAGATTGAAACAGGTTTGTACTCTGTAGAGACTCTAGCTTTCAACTATGTCATTAGAAGCACTTTGGGCATACTTGTGAGCAACAACATATTAAGAGCCAGAGTAGATATTTTTTTCTTGTTATTATCAGAGTAAGACACTTTCTCTGCCCACTTGCAAGTGAATATTTTGGGGAGGGATACACAAGTGTATATTCCTCAGCTACTCTTTCCTGGAGTGAATGTAAAGCAGCGTATTTTATACCTTGGCCATCACAGCAGATAGCAGTTACACCCACACCTTATCCAAGGTTTAAACGCAGAGGTGATTCTGGAGGTAGATAAAATGAGGACATGTTTATCCTTATCTTCCCCATTTATATAGGTGGGATACACTCATTCACCTGCATTTCTTTTTTCTTTTCTTTTCCCAGTAACTTAACAGTCTTTCAGTGGGACACTTTGCAATGTTATGATTGTCTAAGTGCTATATCCGGGTCATGGAAAAGGATTACATTTTCTGTCTCACCCAACATTTTCCTTAACATAATTGTTTTGTTTCCTATATCACTATTCATAATTCATCAATACACTGTGTTCAAGAGATGTCAATCTTATAAAAATGCATTTATTTGAGAGGTGGAGATAAAGTTCATATCTTCTGGGTTACTCCCCAAATAGTTGTAATTTTAGGGCTGGGCCAGGCCAACACTCAAAGCTGGGAGCTCAGACTTGGTCTGCCATGTAGGCAGCAGGGATCCAGCTACACAAACCGTCACCTACTGACTCTTCAAGGTCATACTTATTGGAAGCAGGAAACTGGATGGACTGAGGCTTGAGCCACTCCATTATCAGAGAAACTGGATGTGGCTGTCGAGTGGTGCCTTGTTACATGAGAGGCTCAGGTCAATTCTTCTTCTTCTTCCTCTTTTTTTCACTCTGATGCTCTTGCTGGCTTTTTTTTTTTTATTTTGTCTTGAGACTATGTAATTTTTGGGATGTGTTGTCAAATCAATCTGCCTTTAGGCCTTCCCATTTTTGTGTCTTAGCCTTCTGAGGTCTGCTGAGTTTATTACTACTTTTCTGTCACTTTGCATTTTTTGTTTTTACAGTCATCTTTGACGCATTTCCTATTTTACCTATTTTAGAAGCAAAGGGTTTATGCCTCTAAAATAACAGAAAAAGCAGCAATCTTTTGTCATGTCAAGAGCAAGTGATGGTCAACCCAGTGTTAAGGTTGTGATAGAATCAAAAGTAGTCACAAAATTCAATGGTTTTTGCTTACTTTCAGTTTTATTATTATGTTTTTGCAAAGTCAGTTACTTTGAGAGGAAGGGAGACAGGGCATCCTCCGTCCATTGATTCACTCCCCCAGTGGAGCTAAGCTGATCAGAAGCCAAGAGCCAGGAGCCTCTTCTAGGTCTCACACACAGTTGCAGGGTCCAAGGCTTTGGGCCATCCTCAACTGCTTTTCCAGGCCACAAGCAGGGAGCTGGATGGAAAACAAGCCTGCCAGGATTAGAACCAGTGCCCATATTGGATCCAGGCGCATGCAAAGCAAGGACTTTAAATACTAGGCTATTACACCAGGCCCTTTAATTTCATTTTTTTTAGAACTTAATTTCATTTGAAAGGCATGTTTACAAGAGAGTCATTTAGAAATAGAGAGAAAGAGAGATCTTCCCCTGTCTGGTTGACTCCCCAAATGCATGCAATAGCTGGAGCTTCTTCTGGGTCTCCCGTATGGCTTCAATGGCCCAAGATTTTTTTTTTAAAGACTTATTTTATTTTTATTGGAAAGGCAGATATACAGAGAGGAGAGACAGAGAGGAAGATCTTCCGTCCAATGATTCACTCCCCAAGTGAGTGTAATGGCCGACGCTATTCCCATCTGAAGCCAGGAGCCTCTTCCTGGCCTCCCACGTGGGTGCAGGGTCCCAAAGCTTTGGGCGGTCTTGGACTGCTTTCCCGGACAACAGGCAGGGAGCTGGAAGGGAAGTGGAGCTGCCAAGATTAGAATCTGCGCCCATATGAGTTCCCGGGCATGCAAGGCAAGGGCCTTAACCACTGCGCCATAGCGCTGGGCCCAGTGGCCCAAGAATTTAAGCAATCTCAGACTGATTTCCCAGGATTTAAGCTGGGAGGAGAATCAGAAGTGGAGCCACCAGTACTTGATTGGATACCCCCAGGGGATGCAGGTCTTTCAGGCCTGACTGGTGTGCCTCAGCATGGGCCCCAGTATTCATTGTATTTTGTTTATTAGGCATCATCTGATTCTTTTGTAATTGTATATAAAAGGATTTTTGGGGTGTGATTGTGTAGGATATGCTCCAATGAAGGGCGAGTTTGACAGAGAAATTTAATGTTTATTGTTTGATAATAAAGTTATGAAGTAAATGTTTCTTTCATATATATGGACAATTTCTTTCATGAATTTATACCTTTTTTTTTTCTTTTTTACTTACCTACATAATCTCTTTTCTTCAGGCTTAGTTTGTTACTTTTAAATAAAGGATTTTCTTTCTAGGACATGCAAAGTAACAGAATGGCAGAGGGATAGAGGGAAATGGAGAAAGATGAGTGTTGCCAACCATTTTATAGGAAAGAGAATTCACACTATTAAATATTTGCATGCATTTGAAAGAATTTTTAGTGACAAACTTATCCCTAGTCATTTTACATGAACTTTAGAAAGTACCTGTGTTGGTTGGGGAATTAGCTCAGGTGGTAGAGCACTCACTTAGCATGCAAGAGGTGGTGGGATCGATAAAGTACCTGTGTTTTTGTCTCAGAAAACTTTTGATTTTATATACATATGTAAATTCGTTGAAGAATACTTAAGCCTATTATTTTGTACTACCCCAATGTGAAAGTTCTTTGCAATAGGAGTCATCTTCTTTCCTGTCTTTTTGATGTCTGTTATTGACATACCAGCCTTGTAAATGCATCTGTTTACAAACATGTATGACGAATTGCATTTTTTGTTGCAATTTCAGCTTGCTCGAGAAGCTAAAATATCGAAACAAGAGGTGAAAGAATTTAAACAGAAAATGACATTTATGCACACTAAAATACTGGCAGAACAACCTATCAATGACAGTGCAAATCACATTGAGGTAACTGGCTCTACTGATGTGTGTGACTGAGTTGGATAGAATTGTGTCTTAACTTGGAAACTTACAAGTATTTTGTTTTCCAAACAAAATAAAATGAAGCAAATCATTGCCATGGCAAATTATGAATTAAATTGGTAGGCTGGAAACTTGACAATATTCTTAGTATCATATAGCTTGCCGTCTGTACCCACAAATTTCACAGTTATGGATTCAACAAACTGTGCCTCAGATCTATTTGGAAAAAAAAATGTATTGTGTCCATATGAGATGCTGGTATCACAGATGATACCGTAACATACTATGTCATTATAAGGGCTCTTTAAGGATCTTTTAACTTGTTATTCTGCTTGGAATATAATGTGTCTAGCCATAAAATTCCTTTTCTGTATCTTTTTGACTTCTGCAGACTCAGAGTTAGGATTGTTTTTTTGTAAACACGGAGATACTTTTTCTTCATTTAAAAAAATTATTTTCTCTTTGTGAACTAATGTTTTTCAGTTATTGCTTTTCCTTTTATTTTTCATTTATTTAGTTTTTGAAGATTTATTTATTTTTATTGGAAAGGCAGATTTACAGAGACAAGGAGAGAAGAGGGTGATCTTCCATCTGCTAGTTCACTCCCCAAAGTGTAGCCATGGCAGGAATGGAGTGGATCAGAAGCCAGAATCCAAGCTCTTCTTCTAGGTTTCCCACATGGGTACAGGTGCCAAGGTTTTGGACCATCCTTCAGTTCTTTCCCAGGCCACAAGTAGAGAGCTGGATGGGAAGCTGAGCATCCATGGTGAGATCTGGCATCCATTTGGGACACTGAGTGCTGGCAGGCAGGCAGAGGATTAAGCAGTTAGGCTGATTTGTTTCCTTTAAGCTTGAGGGAGTTTCTCAAAATAATGTTTTGGTTCACTAGTTTACCATTGTAGCATTCTATTATACCCCATTTTTCCTTGCTTAATTTTATTTGAATCCATATTTTGTAGCTGAATTAAGTTTTCTTTTCTTCCTCAAACCTAATGGGGCTGTTGAGAATGGATTTTTTTAACTTTATTATTTGATAAACATCAAAGAAAAGTCAGGTTTGCTTTACTATTTTCTTTACAATCAGTTCAGATGTGTCCAATTGATGATATTTATCATATGCATTTTGAGTGTTAGCATTAAGGGATGTGATAATAATTTTCTGAAAATATTCGTTTTAGTGCCAGATTTGTTTAGGGAAAATAAATGAGTGAAATGAAGAAGGAATCTTTACCAAAAAAAAAAAAAACTATTTCAGAGCTGTTTCTATAATACTTAATTTAAGTTTTTGATAGGAAGACTTTCACGTGTAGATTTTCTCATTGGAAATAGAGCATTTGTCATGCAGAAATTATTTATAACATTTACATTGGCAGACGTTAACTTAGATTTACCTAAATGTATATTTGCTTTAACATCATTTGTTCAAAATTTGTTTCAGGTGAAGAAACATATTTTTACAGGTAAGCCTTTTTTGTTGCTGTATTTTAGATCTCCTAGTTTTTGTGTATAATCTGAAAACTTACAGGTAACTGTATTTTTTAGTGAATAAGAAAAAGCTTGCTGTAGAACTTTGTGGACGAATAAAAGAAAAATGTGAACTACTTGACAAACATAGCTTTGCGGATAAAGAGGTAAGACAGTTTTCAAAATGAAAAAGAGCCAAGAAACTATAATTTCTATGTACATAGTTTTGTGTAAATAGTTTATTTGGAGTGTAATACAGCATTATGCTGTTCTTCACTTCAACACTTAACAGGTCTTACTAATTTTGGTCATTGTGTTAGGAGTGATGTTGTCTCATTCTGGTTTTACCCTGTGTTGTCCTAATGACTTTCTTTATATATCTTTGAACCACTTGAATATTGTTTTTAGGAACTTGCTTTTTCATTTTAAAAAGCATATTCATATTTTCCTTTAATAATTTTCCTACATTTTATAAGGAAGTCATTTTTTCATTATGTTTATTTCAAGTATATTTTTTAATGTGGCTACTGCAAACAGGTGTTTTCACAAGTTGTCTCTGTGTGAAGCCCTGCCTTCCAAACCAATAAGTAAATCTTTATTAGAATAATTTATAGTTTGTGCTCACAGTGTTGGTTTGTTTCAGAATGAGAATTTAGAGGCATCTTTGAAAGATTCCAGCTTTGAGGAGTCAAATGAAGCACAAGCTTTGAAGGTAAAGAAACCAAATGGCCTCCTTCTGAAAGTTGGGGCTAAGATTGTTGCTGATGACTAACATAGACTTTATAGATAATATATTGTCAGTAAAGTAAGTTACAAAGAAGTGTGAAAGAATCATTTAGCTTTTATAACTTAAAAATGGTTAAATATTAGAAATAGGTCATTGGTAGTTAGCACATGTTTTGAGTGAGACATATTCAGTTCACGGTAGAGCTCAGTAGAAGCTCTTTGTTCTTCCTTCCAGGAAAATTCCTGAGTGACCTTTCCTTTTTTGGAAAGGTCCACATCTCCACAGGGAGATGAAGGATTCGTTCAAACAATTTCAGGAACAGTTGTCAGCAATGAATTACCTAAACTGTGTAGTGGTATTTACCTTTATGTAATCCTCAGAACATTGGGAATTATTCAGAATCAGATCAGGGATCTACATTGTAAATATTGATATGCTGCTAAGTGTTTCAGAACCGGCTCGCCAAAAATCATTGCTGTGTTCTGGAAAATAAACAAAACGAAACATGTTCCCCCAAGGCTGGTCTCAAGTTCCCAAGCTGAGGTTACTGAATGAGGAGTATTGTCATGATTCAGCTTTCCTGAGCCTGGTGTGATTCAACTCCTTGTAAGGAAAATATATTACACTTTAGTTTAATGAAGATGGATTAGGTTAAGTGATTAGAATATGTCACTACCTCTTAAAGATCAGGATGTAAAAATCATGGAGAAATAACTCAGTACGGGAGAGGTCTGCTTCCACCACCGTGAAGTTAGAAGGTGGTAGTCATTTCAATTAGGTGTAGGAGTTCAATTCCATGTGACAGTTTCAGTCACTGATGTCTTTCTTCATCAGAACATCTGTTTATCATTAAGAAATTCCTTTGTGCAGTGCAAAGGATGGTATAAATTGTGTTGCAAATATGGTATATCTATTAATGCTTTCTTGTATAATAATAATATGAAAAACATATTGGTAACCTCTTTAATTTGGTGACCCATTAAAACAGCATTCCTTGTAGCAATTGACTAATGGTTTGACAAATTAGAAGAATTTTAGAAGGCATTTGGCTTGCTAACAGAATAGGAAAACTCAATAGCAAACATATTTACTCAACCTGGAGTATAAGTGTAGACAAAATGAAATAATGGGATATGGCAGCCTGTTGTGAAGGCATTTCCGTTATGTAACATACCAGAAAAGTTAGCTAATTGGATATTTTGGAATGTTTTTTTCTTATATTACTATTTAAGAAGACATAGCATTTATTTTCAGGGGTAGTAGTCATAATTGAATACAAACTGTGATAGAATTTTCGCAAATTTAGTAGTTAAATCTACAGAAAATGTTAAACCAGTAGAGCAGTAGAGTATTTCTGATTCAGGTCAGAGAATTGCTATAAAACTAGCCAAATTTAGAGAGCTAGGAATATTAAGTGTTTTTTTGCAGTACAATAGAGCTTTTAAAAAAAAAATTTATTTTTGCCTGCTTTATATTTGAATCTTTTCATTTTGTTTTTTTCAATTTTAAACAAAGTCTGTTGAAGGCTCGAGAATGGCAGAGGCTTATTATTGTATTTAAAACCCAATAGGAATAATTTTCATTTTAGTATTTTTTAATTGCACAATTATTTTTTTTACAGATTTATTCATTTTTATTGCAAAGTCAGATATACAGAGAGAAGGAGAGACAGAGAGAAAGATCGTCCGTCCAATGATTCACTTCCCAAGAGAGGTGCAATGGCTGGTTCTGTGCCAATCTGAAGCCAGGAACCAGGAACCTCTTGGGTCTTTCACGCAGGTGCAAAGTCACAAAGCTTTGGGCCATCCTCCACTGCTTTCCCAGGCCACAAGCAGAAGCTGGATGGGAAGTGGAAGTGCTGGGATTAGAACTGGCGCCCGTATGGGATGCCTGTGCATTCAAGGCTGGGACTTTAGCCACTAGGCCACGCGGTTGGGCCCAATTGCAGAGTAATTCAATATCAAATATCATGAGGAAATCTTTATTTTTATTTAATTTTGATATTATTACAATGTAGTGAATTAGGTTGTTTCATCCTTTTGTTTTATAATGCTTAAGAGTAAAGGTTGGCAAACTACACACTGGATTGTCCACCAGTTTCTCTTTTCTGTTTTATTTTTCATGATACAGTTCCATAGACTCAAGGATTTTCCCTCTCACCCCACCTGTTTTTCAGTTTAAAAAAAAAAAAGTTCTAGGGCACAATGCTGCTCATTTAGTTAGAATTAATTGTCTTTGTTTCTCATTAACATATTATGCGTGAATAACTGTGATAGAGATTGTGTGGCCTGCAAGCCTGAAATGTTTGTTCTCTGACTATGAAGAAGCTAGTTGGCACCTGCTAGAATTGCTAATACTTTGTTGTTTCTCTCAGGTCAGAGAATTGCTATAAAAATAGCCAAATTTAGAGAGCTAGGAATATTAAGTGTCTTTTTCTGCAGCACAATAGAGCTTTTTAAAAAATTTTTACTTTTGCCGGCTTCACATTTGAAACATTTGATTATTTTTTTCCAAAAACTTTCTACATTCACTACTGATGTATCCTATATAAGTCATTTAAGTTGAATGACCACATGCACACTGTGTAGTTTTTATTAATTAAAAATTATAAATATGAGCAGTTAAAATCATGATGTGTGTAAGAGGAATGTACATTGTGTACCTTAAGTGTTGTGAAGTATCAAAGTTGAGATATGGCATGTTGAAAATTGGTGGGGTTTGGTAAATACTTCTCTACTAACTGATACTTTCTTTCCAGACGAAACAAAGCGTACACACCATGGAGAATGACAAAAAATCCCGCCAATCACAAATTACTGAAGTAAGTTGAATTTGTCTAACATTTGTAGGTCTATTGCTTTTGTGCATAAATAAAATTTGGTTGTTGCTTTTATTATTCAGGAATATTATTTGATGTTAGGGTTTCAGAGGTAGATGATCTTCAGTTTACATACACACACATATACACACATAAGGCACTTGATGAAAGTTTATTATTGTAACACTATACACATATTTGAAAAAGCTGTTGCTATATACTGAGTCCTGTTGAGGATGCTTGGTGTTTACCATATTAAGGCAGAAAAACTCTCATAAAGTTAGCTTTTAGTGGAGGAGATACAGAATACATAGTTCACAAAATTTGCAATGCCATACATGGACATTGATAAGAGGTTATGTCATTTGTCCAAGGTCACGTGGCAAATTGGTGGCAGAACTATATTCTGACTCTAGGTTCTTTCTTCCTGCTCCTCTGGGCTGCCTCTGTTGGCACGTTGTTGCCATACTTTAGGATGCTTTAGCTGTTGTCCACGTGGTTATTCTAGGGAGTTCGTGAAGATGATCTATTGTGTTATGTTAATTGTTACTGACTTAATGTGTTTTATACTTAGGCTGAAATAACCACCGATAGCTTTCAGATAAATTTGGATTTACCTAAGCAATTGCATGAATATTCGCAACTTCAGGAAAGATTGAAACAGGTTTGTACTCTGTAGAGACTCTAGCTTTCAACTATGTCATTAGAAGCACTTTGGGCATACTTGTGAGCAACAACATATTAAGAGCCAGAGTAGATATTTTTTTCTTGTTATTATCAGAGTAAGACACTTTCTCTGCCCACTTGCAAGTGTATATTTTGGGGAGGGATACACAAGTGTATATTCCTCAGCTACTCTTTCCTGGGAGTGAATGTAAAGCAGCGTATTTTATACCTTGGCCATCACAGCAGATAGCAGTTACACCCACACCTTATCTGAGGTTTAAAGGCAGAGGTGATTCTGGAGGTAGATAAAATGAGGACATGTTTATCCTTATCTTCCCCACTTATATAGGTAGGATACACTCATTCACCTGCATTTCTTTTTTCTTTTCTTTTCCCAGTAACTTGACAGTCTTTCAGTGGGACACTTTGCATTGTTATGATTCTCTAAGTGCTATATCTGGGTCATGTAAAAGGATTACATTTTCTGTCTCACCCAACATTTTCTTTAACATAATTATTTTGTTTCCTATATCACTATTCATAATTCATCAATACACTGTGTTCAAGAGATGTCAATCTTATAAAAATGCATTTATTTGAGAGGTGGAGATAAAGTTCATATCTTCTGGGTTACTCCCCAAATAGTTGTAATTTTAGGGCTGGGCCAGGCCAACAGTTAGAGCTGGGAGCTCAGACTTGGTCTGCCATGTAGGCAGCAGGGATCCAGCTACACAAACCGTCACCTACTGACTCTTCAGGGTCATATTTATTGGAAGCAGGAAACTGGATGGACTGAGGCTTGAGCCACTCCATTATCAGAGAAACTGGATGTGGCTGTCGAGTGGTGCCTTGTTACATGAGAGGCTCAGGTCAATTCTTCTTCTTCTTCCTCTTTTTTTCACTCTGATGCTCTTGCTGGCTTTTTTTTTTTATTTTGTCTTGAGACTATGTAATTTTTGGGATGTGTTGTCAAATCAATCTGCCTTTAGGCCTTCCCATTTTTGTGTCTTAGCCTTCTGAGGTCTGCTGAGTTTATTACTACTTTTCTGTCACTTTCCATTTTTTGTTTTTACAGTCATCTTTGACGCATTTCCTATTTTACCTATTTTAGAAGCAAAGGGTTTATGCCTCTAAAATAACAGAAAAAGCAGCAATCTTTTGTCATGTCAAGAGCAAGTGATGGTCAACCCAGTGTTAAGGTTGTGATAGAATCAAAAGTAGTCACAAAATTCAATGGTTTTTGCTTACTTTCAGTTTTATTATTATGTTTTTGCAAAGTCAGTTACTTTGAGAGGAAGGGAGACAGGGCATCCTCCATCCATTGATTCACTCCCCCAGTGGAGCTAAGCTGATTAGAAGCCAAGAGCCAGGAGCCTCTTCTAGGTCTCATACACAGTTGCACGGTCCAAGGCTTTGGGCCATCCTCAACTGCTTTTCCAGGCCACAAGCAGGGAGCTGGATGGAAAACAAGCCTGCCAGGATTAGAACCAGTGCCCATATTGGATCCAGGCGCATGCAAAGCAAGGACTTTAAATACTAGGCTATCACACCAGGCCCTTTAATTTCATTTTTTTTAGAACTTACTTTTATTTGAAAGGCATATTTACAAGAGAGACATGTAGAAATAGAGAGAGAGAAAGATCTTCCCCTGTCTGGTTGACTGCCCAAATGCATGCAATAGCTGGAGCTTCTTCTGGGTCTCCCGTATGGCTTCAATGGCCCAAGATTTTTTTTTTTTAAAGATTTATTTTATTTTTATTGGAAAGGCAGATATACAGAGAGGAGAGACAGAGAGGAAGATCTTCCGTGCAATGATTCACTCCCCAAGTGAGTGTAATGGCCGATGCTATGCCCATCTGAAGCCAGGAGCCTCTTCCTGGCCTCCCACGTGGGTGCAGGGTCCCAAAGCTTTGGGCGGTCCTGGACTGCTTTCCCGGGCAACAGGCAGGGAGCTTGATGGGAAGCGGAGCTGCCAAGATTAGAATCTGCGCCCATATGAGATCCCGGGCATGCAAGGCAAGGGCCTTAACCACTGCGCCATCGCGCTGGGCCCAGTGGCCCAAGAATTTAAGCAATCTCAGACTGATTTCCCAGGATATAAGCTGGGAGGTGAATCAGAAGTGGAGCCACCAGTACTTGATTGGATACCCCCAGGGGATGCAGGTCTTTCAGGTGGAGGCCTGACTGGCTGTGCCTCAGCACGGGCCCCAGTATTCATTTTATTTTGCCTATTAGGCATCATCTGATTCTTTTGTAATTTTATATAAAAGGATTTTTGGGGTGTGATTGTGTAGGATATGCTCCAATGAAGGGCGAGTTTGACAGAGAAATTTAATGTTTATTGTTTGATAATAAAGTTATGAAGTATAAGTAAATGTTTCTTTCATATATATGGACAATTTCTTTCATGAATTTATACCTTTTTTTTTTTTTTTACTTACCTACATAGTCTCTTTTCTTCAGGCTTAGTTTGTTACTTTTAAATAAAGGATTTTCTTTCTAGGACATGCAAAGTAACAGAATGGCAGAGGGATAGAGGGAAATGGAGAAAGATGAGTGTTGCCAACCATTTTATAGGAAAGAGAATTCACACTATTAAATATTTGCATGCATTTGAAAGAATTTTTAGTGACAAACTTATCCCTAGTCATTTTACATGAACTTTAGAAAGTACCTGTGTTGGTTGGGGAATTAGCTCAGGTGGTAGAGCGCTCACTTAGCATGCAAGAGGTGGTGGGATCGATAAAGTACCTGTGTTTTTGTCTCAGAAAACTTTTGATTTTATATACATATGTAAATTCGTTGAAGAATACTTAAGCCTATTATTTTGTACTACCCCAATGTGAAAGTTCTTTGCAATAGGAGTCATCTTCTTTCCTGTCTTTTTGATGTCTGTTATTGACATACCAGCCTTGTAAATGCATCTGTTTACAAACATGTATGACGAATTGCATTTTTTGTTGCAATTTCAGCTTGCTCGAGAAGCTAAAATATCGAAACAAGAGGTGAAAGAATTTAAACAGAAAATGACATTTATGTACACTGAAATACTGGCAGAACAACCTATCAATGACAGTGCAAATCACATTGAGGTAAATGGCTCTACTGATGTGTGTGACTGAGTTGGATAGAATTGTGTCTTAACTTGGAAACTTACAAGATTTTGTTTTCCAAACAAAATAAAATGAAGCAAATCATTGCCATGGCAAATTATGAATTAAATTGGTAGGCTGGAAACTTGACAATATTCTTAGTATCATATAGCTTGCCCTCTGTACCCACAAATTTCACAGTTATGGATTCAACAAACTGTGCCTCAGATCTATTTGGAAAAAAAATGTATTGTGTCCATATGAGATGCTGGTATCACAGATGATATCGTAACATACTATGGCATTATAAGGGCTCTTTAAGGGTCTTTTAACTTGTTATTCTGCTTGGAATATAATGTGTCTAGCCATAAAATTCCTTTTCTGTATCTTTTTGACTTCTGCAGACTCAGAGTTAGGATTGTTTTTTTGTAAACACGGAGATACTTTTTCTTCATTTAAAAAATTATTTTCTCTTTGTGAACTAATGTTTTTCAGTTATTGCTTTTCCTTTTATTTTTCATTTATTTAATTTTTGAAGATTTATTTATTTTTATTGGAAAGGCAGATTTACAGAGACAAGGAGAGAAGAGGGTGATCTTCCATTTGCTAGTTCACTCCTCAAAGTGTAGCCATGGCAGGAATGGAGTGGATCAGAAGCCAGAATCCAAGCTCTTCTTCTGGGTTTCCCACATGGGTACAGGTGCCAAGGTTTTGGACCATCCTTCAGTTCTTTCCCAGGCCACAAGTAGAGAGCTGGATGGGAAGCTGAGCATCCATGCTGAGATCTGGCATCCATTTGGGACACTGAGTGCTGGCAGGCAGGCAGGCAGAGGATTAAGCAGTTGGGCTGATTTGTTTCCTTTAAGCTTGAGGGACTTTCTCAAATAATGTTTTGGTTCACTAGTTTACCATTGTAGCATTCTATTATACCCCATTTTTCCTTGCTTAATTTTATTTGAATCCATATTTTGTAGCTGAATTAAGTTTTCTTTTCTTCCTCAAACCTAATGGGGCTGTTGAGAATGGATTTTTTTACTTTATTATTTGATAAAGATCAAAGAAAAGTCAGGTTTGCTTTACTATTTTCTTTACAATCAGTTCAGATGTGTCCAATTGGTAATATTTATCATATGCATTTTGAGTGTTAGCATTAAGGGATGTGATAATAATTTTCTGAAAATATTCCTTTTAGTGCCAGATTTGTTTAGGGAAAATAAATGAGTGAAATGAAGAAGGAATCTTTACCAAAAAAAAAAAAAAAAACTATTTCAGAGCTGTTTCTATAATACTTAATTTAAGTTTTTGATAGGAAGACTTTCATGTGTAGATTTTCTCATTGGAAGTAGAGCATTTGTCATGCAGAAATTATTTATAACATTTACATTGGCAGATGTTAACTTAGATTTACCTAAATGTATATTTGCTTTAACATCATTTGTTCAAAATTTGTTTCAGGTGAAGAAACATATTTTTACAGGTAAGCCTTTTTTGTTGCTGTATTTTAGATCTCCTAGTTTTTGTGCATAATCTGAAAACTTACAGTTGACTGTATTTTTTAGTGAATAAGAAAAAGCTTGCTGTAGAACTTTGTGGACGAATAAAAGAAAAATGTGAACTACTTGACAAACATAGCTTTGCGGATAAAGAGGTAAGACAGTTTTCAAAATGAAAAAGAGCCAAGAAACTGTAATTTCTATGTACATAGTTTTGTGTAAATAGTTTATTTAGAGTGTAATACAGCATTATGCTGTTCTTCACTTCAACACTTAACAGTTCTTACTAATTTTGGTCATTGTGTTAGGAGTGATGTTGTCTCATTCTGGTTTTACCCTGTGTTGTCCTAATGACTTTCTTTATATATCTTTGAACCACTTGAATATTCTTTTTAGGAACTTGCTTTTTCATTTTAAAAAGCATATTCATATTTTCCTTTAATAATTTTCCTACATTTTATAAGGAAGTCATTTTTTCATTATGTTTATTTCAAGTATATTTTTTAATGTGGCTATTGCAAACAGGTGTTTTCACAAGTTCTCTCTGTGTGAAGCCCTGCCTTCCAAACCAATAAGTAAGTCTTTATTAGGATAATTTATAGTTTGTGCTCACAGTGTTGGTTTGTTTCAGAATGAGAATTTAGAGGCGTCTTTGAAAGATTCCAGCTTTGAGGAGTCAAATGAAGCACAAGCTTTGAAGGTAAAGAAACCAAATGGCCTCCTTCTGAAAGTTGGGGCTAAGATTGTTGCTGATGACTGACATAGACTTTATAGATAATACATTGTCAGTAAAGTAAGTTGCAAAGCTGTGTGAAAGAATCATTTAGCTTTTATAACTTAAAAATGGTTAAATATTAGAAATAGGTCATTGGTAGTTAGCACATGTTTTGAGTGAGACATATTCAGTTCACGGTAGAGCTCAGTAGAAGCTCTTTGTTCTTCCTTCCAGGAAAATTCCTGAGTGACCTTTCCTTTTTTGGAATGGTCCACATCTCCACAGGGAGATGAAGGATTCATTCAAACAATGTCAGGAGTAGTTGTCAGCAATAAATTACCTAAACTGTGTAGTGGTATTTACCTTTATGTAATCCTCAGAACATTGGGAATTATTCAGAATCAGATCAGGGATCTACATTGTAAATATTGATATGCTGCTAAGTGTTTCAGAACCGGCTCGCCAAAAATCATTGCTGTGTTCTGGAAAATAAAACAAAACGAAACATGTTCCCCCAAGGCTGGTCTCAAGTTCCCAAGCTGAGGTTACTGAATGAGGAGTATTCTCATGATTCAGCTTTCCTGAGCCTGGTGTGATTCAACTCCTTGTAAGGAAAATATATTACACTTAATTTAATGAAGATGGATTAGGTTAAGTGATTAGAATATGTCACTACCTCTTAAAGATCAGGATGTAAAAATCATGGAGAAATAACTCAGTACGGGAGAGGTCTGCTTCCACCAACGTGAAGTTAGAAGGTGGTAGTCATTTCAGTTAGGTGTAGGAGTTCAATTCCATGTGACAGTTTCAATCACTGATGTCTTTCATCATCAGAACATCTGTTTATCATTAAGAATTTCCTTTGTGCAGTGCAAAGGATGGTATAAATTGTGTTGCAAATATGGTATATCTATTAATGCTTTCTTCTATAATAATAATATGAAAAACATATTGGTAACCTCTTTAATTTGGTGACCCATTAAAACAGCATTCCTTGTAGCAATTGACTAATGGTTTGACAAATTAGAAGAATTTTAGAAGGCATTTGGCTTGCTAACAGAACAGGAAAACTCAATAGCAAACACATTTACTCAACCTGGAGTATATGTGTAGACAAAATGAAATAATGGGATATGGCAGCCTGTTGTGAAGGCATTTCCGTTATGTAACATACCAGAAAAGTTAGCTAATTGGATATTTTGGAATGTTTTTTTCTTATATTACTATTTAAGAAGACATAGCATTTATTTTCAGGGGTAGTAGTCATAATTGAATACAAACTGTGATAGAATTTTCGCAAATTTAGTAGTTGAATCTAGAGAAAAAGTTAAACCAGTAGAGCAGTAGAGTATTTCTGATTCAGGTCAGAGAATTGCTATAAAAATAGCCAAATTTAGAGAGCTAGGAATATTAAGTGTCTTTTTGCAGTACAATAGAGCTTTGTAAAAAAAAAATTTTATTTTTGCCTGCTTTATATTTGAATCTTTTCATTTTGTTTTTTTCAATTTTAAACAAATCTGTTGAAGGCTCGAGAATGGCAGAGGCATATTATTGTATTTAAAACCCAATAGGAATAATTTTCATTTTAGTATTTTTTAATTGCACAATTATTTTTTTTTACAGATTTATTCATTTTTATTGCAAAGTCAGATATACAGAGAGAAGGAGAGACAGAGAGAAAGATCGTCCGTCCAATGATTCACTTCCCAAGTGAGGTGCAATGGCTGGTACTGTGCCAATCTGAAGCCAGGAACCAGGAACCTCTTCTGGGTCTTTCACGCAGGTGCAAAGTCACAAAGCTTTGGGCCATCCTCCACTGCTTTCCCAGGCCACAAGCAGAAGCTGGATGGGAAGTGGAAGTGCTGGGATTAGAACTGGCGCCCGTATGGGATGCCTGTGCATTCAAGGCTGGGACTTTAGCCACTAGGCCACGCGGTTGGGCCCAATTGCAGAGTAATTCAATATCAAATATCATGAGGAAATCTTTATTTTTATTTAATTTTGATATTATTACAATGTAGTGAATTAGGTTGTTTCATCCTTTTGTTTTATAATGCTTAAGAGTAAAGGTTGGCAAACTACAAACTGGATTGTCCACCAGTTTCTCTTTTCTGTTTTATTTTTCATGATATAGTTCATAGACTCAAGGATTTTCCCTCTCACCCCACCTGTTTTTCAGTTTAAAAAAAAAAGTTCTAGGGCACAATGCTGCTCATTTAGTTAGAATTAATTGTCTTTGTTTCTCATTAACATATTATGTGTGAATAACTGTGATAGAGATTGTGTGGCCTGCAAGCCTGAAATGTTTGTTCTCTGACTATGAAGAAGCTTGTTGGCACCTGCTAGAATTGCTAATACTTTGTTGTTTCTCTCAGGTCAGAGAATTGCTATAAAAATAGCCAAATTTAGAGAGCTAGGAATATTAAGTGTTTTTATTAGCAGCACAATAGAGCTTTTTAAAAAATTTTTATTTTTGCCGGCTTTACATTTGAAACATTTGATTATTTTTTTCCAAAAACTTTCTACATTCACTACTGATGTATCCTATATAAGTCATTTAAGTTGAATGACCACATGCACACTGTGTAGTTTTTATTAATTAAAAATTATAAATATGAGCAGTTAAAATCATGATGTGTGTAAGGTGTAATGTACATTATGTACCTTAAGTGTTGTGAAGTATCAAAGTTGAGATATGGCATGTTGAAAATTGGAGGGGTTTGGTAAATACTTCTCTACTAACTGATACTTTCTTTCCAGACGAAACAAAGCGTACACACCATGGAGAATGACAAAAAATCCCGCCAATCACAAATTACTGAAGTAAGTTGAATTTGTCTAACATTTGTAGGTCTGTTGCTTTCGCACATAAATAAAATTTGGTTGTTGCTTTTATTATTCAGGAATATTATTTGATGTTAGGGTTTCAGAGGTAGACGAGCTTCAGTTTACATACACACACATATACACACATAAGGCATTTGAGGAAAGTTTATTATTGTAACACTATACACATATTTGAAAAAGCTATTGCTATATACTGAGTCCTGTTGAGGTTGCTTGGTGTTTATCATATTAAGGCAGAAAAACTCTCATAAAGTTAGCTTTTAGTGGAGGAGATACAGAATACATAGTTCAGAAAATTTGCTATGCCATACATGGACATTGATAAGAGGTTATGTTATTTGTCCAAGGTCACGTGGCAAATTGGTGACAGAACTATATTCTGACTCTAGGTTCTTTCTTCCTGCTCCTCTGGGTTGCCTCTGTTGGCACGTTGTTGCCATGCTTTAGGATGCTTTAGCTGTTGTCCACGTGGATATTCTAGGGAGTCCGTGAAGATGATCTATTGTGTTATGTTAATTGTTACTGACTTAATGTGTTTTATACTTAGGCTGAAATAACCACCGATAGCTTTCAGATAAATTTGGATTTACCTAAGCAATTGCATGAATATTCGCAACTTCAGGAAAGATTGAAACAGGTTTGTACTCTGTAGAGACTCTAGGTTTCAACTATGTCATTAGAAGCACTTTGGGCATACTTGTGAGCCACAACATATTAAGAGCCAGAGTAGATATTTTTTTCTTGTTATTATCAGGGTAAGACACTTTCTCTGCCCACTTGCAAGTGTATATTTTGGGGAGGGATACACAAGTGTATATTCCTCAGCTACTCTTTCCTGGGAGTGAATGTAAAGCAGCGTATTTTATACCTTGGCCATCACAGCAGATAGCAGTTACACCCACACCTTATCCAAGGTTTAAAGGCAGAGGTGATTCTGGAGGTAGATAAAATGAGGACATGTTTATCCTTATCTTCCCCACTTATATAGGTAGGATACACTCATTCACCTGTATTTCTTTTTTCTTTTCTTTTCCCAGTAACTTGACAGTCTTTCAGTGGGACACTTTGCAATATTATGATTGTCTAAGTGCTATATCCGGGTCATGGAAAAGGATTACATTTTCTGTCTCACCCAACATTTTCCTTATGTTAAAATAATGATTTTGTTTCCCATATACCTATTCATAATTCATCAATACACTGTATTCAAGAGATGTCAGTCTTATAAAAATGCATTTATTTAGGAGGTTGAGATAAAGTTCATATCTTCTGGGTTACTCCCCAAATGGTTGTAATTTGTAGGGCTGGGCCAGGCCAACACTCAGAGCTGGGAGCTCAGACTTGGTCTGCCATGTAGGCAGCAGGGATCCAGCTACACAAACCGTCACCTACTGACTCTTCAGGGTCATATTTATTGGAAGCAGGAAACTGGATGGACTGAGGCTTGAGCCACTCCGTTATCAGAGAAACTGGATGTGGCTGTCGAGTGGTGCCTTGTTACATGAGAGGCTCAGGTCAATGCTGCTTTTTTTTTTTTTTTTTTTTTTTTTGTCACTCTGATGCTCTGGCTGGCTTTTTTTTTTTTTAATGATCATTCACTAACCTTTTATGACTGCATGTTTACTTCACTTTTTAGCAGTATATTATTAGATGGCATCTAGTCACTAAATTTAATGGTTTTTCCTTAGTTTCAGTTTTATTATTTTTTTGCAAAGTCAGTTACTTTGAGAGGAAGGGAGACAGGGCATCCTCCGTCCATTGATTCACTCCCCCAGTGGAGCTGAGCTGATCAGAAGCCAAGAGCCAGGAGCCTCTTCTAGGTCTCACACACATGCAGGGTCCAAGGCTTTGGGCCATCCTCAACTGCTTTTCCAGGCCACAAGCAGGGAGCTGGATGGAAAACAAGCCTGCCAGGATTAGAACCAGTGCCCATATTGGATCCAGGTGCATGCAAAGCACGGACTTTAATTACTAGGCTATCACCCCAGGCTGGTTAAATTCATTTTTTTTAGAACTTACGTTTATTTGAAAGGCATATTTACAAGAGAGACATGTAGTGATAGAAAGAGAGATCTTCCCCTGTCTGGTTGACTCCCCAAATGGTTTTTTTATTTTATTTTGGGTGTTTCATTTTATTTTGCTCCTTGTCCATCATCTAATTTTTTTGTACTTTTATATAAAAAATTTTGGGGGTGTGATTGTGTAGGATATGCTCCAATGAAGGGCGAGTTTGACAGAGAAATTTAATGTTTATTGTTTGATAACATAGTTATGAAGTGTAAATAGATATTTCTCTCATATATATGGACAATTTCTTTCATGAATTTATAATTTTTTTTTTAACTTATCTACATAGTGTCTTTTTTTCAGCCTAAGATTGTTACTTTTAAATAAAAAATTTTCTTTCTAGGACATGCAAAGTAACAGAATTGCAAAGGGTTTGAGGGAAATGGAGAGAGATGAGTGTGTCCAACCATTCATGCTATTAAATATTTGCATGCATTTTAAAGAAATTTTAGTGACAACTTATCCCTAGTCATTTTACATGAACTTTATAAAGTAGCTGTGTTTTTGTCTCAGAAAACGTTTGATTTTATATACATATGTAAATCCGTTGAAGAATATTTAAGCTTATTATTTTGTACTACCCCAATTTGAAAGTTCTTTGCAATAGGAGTCATCTTCTTTCCTGTCTTTTTGATGTCTGTTATTGACATACCAGCCTTGTAAATGCATCTGTTTACAAACATGTATGACGAATTGCATTTTATGTTGCAATTTCAGCTTGCTCGAGAAGCTGAAATATCGAAACAAGAGGTGGATGAACTTAAACAGAAAATGACATTTTTGTACAGTGAAATACTGGCAGAACAACCTATCAATGACAATGCAAATCACATTGAGGTAAATGGCTCTACTGATGTGTGTGACTGAGTTGGACAGAATTGTGTCTTAACTTGTAAACTTACAAGATTTTGTTTTCCAAACAAAATAAAATGAAGCAAATCATTGCCATGGCAAATTATGAATTAAATTGGTAGGCTGGAAACTTGACAATATTCTTAGTATCATATAGCTTGCCCTCTGCACCCACAAATTCCACAGCTATGGATTCAACAAACTGCATCAGATCTATATGAAAAAAAAAGTATTGTTTCTGACAGTTTCTTCTTATTGTGCTTATTCTCTAATTATATAATGCTATCACTATTTCCCTAACAGAGCTGCTAAGTATCATTTGCAGAATAGAACTGAGTTAAAATAAAGGTGTTTATGGACTGTATGTGAATGCTGCACTAATGTGCATGAGAGACTTGAGCATGTGTGGATTTTTGCATTTGTGAGTTAGGTGGCCGGTCCTTGAACCCTTCCTTTTGTGGATGCCATGTGACAAATGTATTGTTTAACTTTTTCTCTAAGCTCAAAGATTGAAAGACCTTGAAATACCTGCTAAATAGAACAATAATGAGATACTATTCTCGCACTGTGTGCAAAGCTGTAGACCTTTTTGTTTGGTGCCTCAAATTCTTAAAAGTTTGAGGCAACTGAAGGATGGAAATTGTAGACCAGAATAGATTTAACTGGGACTTTCCAGAGCAATATATGACACAGTTATATGATATTTTTGTTACAGTGCTAGAAAATTTTCCTGCATTACAAGAAAATACTACCCAATGCTGGGAAACTTCTCATGTTCTAATTTGAATACTTCTTAAGAATGTATTTTGTCTCAGTTGAACTCCTCACTTAATTATGTTTTCTTTTTAATAGATTGAAATTTGTAATCTTTATATCACAGATTGGTCATTATATAAAATATATCCTTTATGTTAATGTTCACTATTATTTGTAGCAGATAAACATCTCAAACATTTTGCCATTTTAAAATATGAATTTAGCAAGAATGAACCATTATAAGATGTTTCATTAAGATTCACTAGTTTTGGTTTTATCTTATAGAGCTTAATAGCCACAACAACCTTGCCTGGACCTTGTTGTAGCCAGCAGCCAGGACCTCCATCTGAATGTCCAATCAAGGTGGCAGGGATGCATCTACTTGCACCACCTGTCGGTGTGGGGTTTAGGAGTGAATATGGTTATGGAGGAGAACTAAGAAGAAGTTGGAATCAGGAGATTGAGTCCGGATGGGAACCCTGGCATTCAGATGAGAATATGGGCATCTCAATGGGCATCTTAACTACTGTGCCAAATACCTACTCTTGGTAGATTTATTTAAAACTGTAATTGTACATCAACAAGATATATACATTTGGGCTGGTATTGTGGTACTGTGGATGAAGCTACCACATGCATTAGCATCTCATAGCTGCTTGGTAATGTACTTGAAAGGCAACAGAAAAATGGGCCAGTTACTTGGACTTCTGCACAAATGTGGGAGATGCAGATGGAGGTCCTGGCTCCTGGCTTCAGAATGTTGTGGTAATTTGAGTAGCAAACCTATGAACGGAAGAGCGTTTGTCTTCTCCTCTCTGTTGAATTTCAAATAAAGAAGTAAATCAATCTTAAGAGGAAAGAAATAATAAATGCACTAGTGTAAGTCATTACCCTCTGTCTTTTTTTTTTTTTTTTTTAATCTCTGAACATGTTCTAAAGACGGAAATGTGCTCTGCCAATCTTGGAGATGAGATCACCAATGATGACTGTTTGGAACAAGACATGAAGAGTGACTCAGAAAACGGTACTCCCTTAGATATTAAGTCAGGATTCATCTTTTGATGAAATGATGGCTACTTTTTTTGGTTGTTTCTCCTCCAGTCCTTGTTTTTGATACACTGTGTGTTGGCTTGTCTGTAACACAGCGTCATTGTCTCCCTTTACATTTACCTTCAGCTGGAACACCTTCAGTCAATCCCTTCAGCTCCATAGATAGACTTGTAGTCTCCTTCCCTGCTGTTCTCCTCGCAGCTGATACATGTCCTCCTTATAGCTGTTTAAAAAAATTAATGCCATAATCATTTCAGTGCTTGTTTTTCTCTCCATTGTAGGCTAAACAGATGGATAGGTGACATGTTCAAAATAGGAGTGCTACATAAAGCACTAATTCATAGCTCAGCATTTTTATTAAGTTAAATTGTTACACTGCTTTGGATCATCACAGTAATTTTTATCATTACCCATTGCAGTCAGCCTGCCAAAAATTGGGTTAGCAGAAGCCATTCACTGTGTTCTCAAACCAGTTATGATGACTTTGTTATTTTTCTTTAAGTGACATTGAGGGGCTGGCATTGTGGCACAGTGTTTTAAGGTGCCACCTGCAATGCTGGCATCAATATGAATACTTGCTTGAGTCCTGCCTGCTACACTTCCTTTCCAGCTTCCCGCTAATGTAGCTAGAAAGACAGTGGGAAATGGAAGATGAAAGTACCTGTGTCCCTGATGCCCACAAGGGAGACCTGGAAAGAGCTCTGCGTTCCTGGATGCTATTTGTCCCAGCCCTGACTGTTGATGTGTTAGGGATGTGAAACAGCAGAAGAAAGTTTGGTCTCTGTCTCTGGTTCTCCTTTACTCTCCCTCACTCTCTGTAACTCAGCCACTCAAACAAATAAATCTCAGAAAATATTTTATTTTGAAATTGTTACAGATTTACAGGAAGTTTAAAAGTAATATAGACAGATCTCATGTTCCTTACTACCCGTTTCCTTCCTTGGTGGTTCTTCCAAATGTTATGCTTTCTGCCCCGCAACTACAGCACAAATAATAAATACATTCATGAAGAAAGATGTGATTTTTAAATTGTGAAGGATTTATGTATTTATTCATTTACTGAAAATGAACAATGACAGACAAGAGATGGATATTGAAAGATCCTTTATTACTGATTCAGTCCCCAAATGCCCATATCTGCTGGGGTTGGACCAGACAGAAGACCAGGAATTCATCGAGGTCTCCTAAGTGGTTGACCAGAACCCAAGAATTTGAACTTTCATCTGTTAATTCCCTGGTACATTAACAGGAAACCTGACTGGAAGTGAAAGGTGTACTTAAAATCTGTGTGTGTGATACAGCAGTATTATGGCAAGAGAAAATTGCTTCTCATAGTAGGCTTATTTAGTAAGGGGAATAGTGCAAGATTTTAGGCTTGAAACTGACTTGTTCTTAATCACATTGATTATGTCCTTTTTTTCTGTAAATGTACAACTTATAAAAAAAGCTGAATTTATGGGTGAGACAAAGTAAGAGGATAACAAAGAAACTAAAAATAAAGCAATATGTATAACATTTCTTTTATAGTCAGTTTGCAGTTTTAAGTTGGGTTTAAAAAAGCATCTTATTTAAAAAAATTAAATCACAGAATTTATATTTACATTAGTAAAGTATAGAAGGAAATATTTGAATGTTAGTAATCATGTTTGAATAGAGAAACATGGGCAGTTTATAATCTAATGTGTATTTTCAAAATTCTACAATACATGAGCCATATCTGTAATAATGAAACACTATTTTATAAATAATACTTGGGCCTGGTATGGTGGCCTAATGGCTACAGTCCTAATCTTGAACACACCTGCATCCCATATGGGTGCCAGTTCTATCCTGGCAGCTCCACTTCCAATCCAGCTCCCAACTTGTGGGCTGGAAAACAGTGGAGGGTGGCCCAGAGCCTTGGAATCTGCACCCGCATGGGAGACCTGGAGGAATTTCCTGGCTCTTGGGTTCAGATTGGCTCAGCTCTGACTGTTGCAGTCACTTGTGGAGTGAATCATCAGACAGAAGATCTTCCTCTCTGTCTCTCCTCCTCTCTATATATCTGACTTTGCAATAAAAATAAATAAATCTTAAAAAAAGAAATAATACTCAACATCAATTTAATAAATAATTTTTTTAGCAGTGGCATAAGTAGTTTAACTTTTAAAATGGGTTGCAGAAGTTTTTTAAAAGTACAGATACACATAGTTTTGTGTGAATTCAGTCGTTTATTTTTAAGATATTTACTTAAAATATCCTTGCATTTTCATTTAAATAATGAATATTTTAGAATAGTTATATACCCATTACATGTAATTATTAAAATTTTTTACTTATTAATACGATTTTGTATTTTCTCTTTTCATTAAGTTTGGGATAATGATAGGTGCCACATTTGGAAAAATATATCTTTCCTACATTATCAAATAATACACCTATTTTTGAAGCATTCACATTATTTAGAATTGTTAGTTTTCATTTTTATAGATTACTGTAGATGAATTAGCAGTTGAAGGTAGGTTAAAATTTATACTTTTCTCTCAGGCATAGTTTTGTTTAAGTCTGGAGGACATCTGAGTATTTATTAGCCAAAAGGTCTAAATTTCTTGTATGATTTATAACCCATATCACGTTTATGCCTAAATGTTAGTGCTGAATAGAACTATAATACTATTGAGAGGCAAATTCTTTACTAGATGAAATGGAAATTACTGATTGTTATGGAAATTGTTTAAGGGACTATTGAAATAAAATACTTTTAAAAGCCTTTATTTCTTCGTGGATTTTAGCTTCTAAGTTGAATAATAGATGCTAGATTGAATGGAAGTTTTTGAGGATTGTACACAAAAATATGAGACAATATTTAAAATAGTAGACCTAGATCTTTAAACTATTGAAAAGCATTAGATGTTCTATCGTTGGAGCCATTTTAATTTTGTTAATTTTGTTATTAACTTATTAATTTGGTAACTTTTGTCCTCAGATGTTAGTATGTAACTTAAAATATTCCTTTTGTTATGACCTAAAATTTCCTTTAGAACATATTGAAAATCATCAGACTGAACAAATACCTATGAAGTCAGAAGGGACACAATTTGGAAATGAAATTGG